CATATCTTATCTGAACATCCATCTCAAACAATAGAAAGTGTTTGAATTTTAAGTAGCATTTAACAAATACCTACTAATAATTCTTGATCGCTAGCAAAAACAATTGATATTCTGCATGACGTAATAAATGAATCAAATTTGAAACAGACCAATCAATGTCTTCTTATCTAAATTACTGTGCGTATGTAATTAACGATGATGAATTTCAATTACAGTTGTCAGTGCTCCTTCATGTTGCATGGCTTGCTTATATTACGTCCATTCAGTAAAGGATGTAGGTGAAGGTTTCGTGATGCAAAAGGAAGCGTTACCAATACCCTACTATGGTACCTACTTTGTAAAGTAATATAAGCACTTTACTTTTAAGAAAACTAATGCAGATTGATGTAACAATGTGTAATTATTTACCTTCTTTTGTGTACTTACACACAATTCAATTACATGATGCGTAATTCGTTTTTCTTCAAAATTAAACGTGCTGTACATAAGCGCGTCTTTAACGTGAAGGAAGGGCGAATGAGGAAGACTTCTTTCAGACAGAACCCTTTTACGAATAATCCTCAATCCAAGGAAAGTATCCTATATGATCCGGAGAATTCATCCTAGAACACATCGGACAAAAGAACCGCGCTGAAGAAAATTCCGAATCACTGTTTACAGAGGTTAAAAATGGGAAAAAATCTGGAGCAAGAGAACGCTAAACACATTTTACATCACATCTACAATATACAAAAATTATCAATGCGAGGAAGTAAATCTTGAATTTGAATAAATTAAATCTGACTTTAATTTAATGCAACATTTGATAAGCTACAGAATGGCCTAACCAAGTAGATTTAAAAGCCACTCCAATTCTTTCCCATTTGTGAATAACATTCCGAAGTCTCTTCATAAAGTACATGAAATACAGCAATGTATGTAGCCGGACCGCCTCCAGCCCAGAAGGTATCTAAAGGTCCTAGATACGGTAACCTTAGACTAAAATTGTATTTCGAGACGAATGCCGCTGAAGTATCTTTATCACTTCGGCATCTAGGTACGGGCGAAATGTTAATTACACTCAAAAAAAGGCAGATTCGTACACAAAGAATTAAAGTCGCTAATCAATCTTAAATGAATTTGGAAATTAATAACTGGTCAATCTCAAACAAATCAAAATAAGAATAACAATTACATTATTAAAACCAAATTCAAGGATCACATACCCCGAGTTACAATAAACAGCTGAAGGCAACATAATTTACCTACAACAAGTAATTTTACCATTTTGAAATGGTAAATTGCACAAACCTTACCGAAAAATTGACAAAATTAGTACAAATTGGAATATCCTAACTTGATGCAGAAGCAAAATGACGCAACATTTCACAATGAACCCGTATGAACTCTAAAATGCAAAATTGGCAAAGCTGAATAGACACTATTTTTTTCATATAGCAATCAATCATTTAAAAGTTGCAGACATCGAAATAATTACTGTTGGGACAGTAACTACATTGTTTCGAGATATAACGTATTTTCCAGCGGTGTCTCTGTATACTCCAACACGGTTCTTGTCGTTTCAAATTTGAAATCAGGCATCTCAACACTTTAGATAGCGAAAACTTTATCCGTTTTTAACGACTTCAAGACTTAGCGCTCAATGCCCTCAAAAAACCTCTGTCTATTTCATCCCAACTTTCTCAATGTATACAACATACGCCTACAAAATGGAGATCATTGGTTACAGCGGCAATCTTTACTCGTTCAGGCAGTAAACTTTGTCCACTCTGAATAATATTTTCCTTTTAAAAGTCACTAGGCAGACACCACTGCGGTTTAGAATTTCTATCTCTTCGGTTCTCACTACGTGATTATGAACAAAAGTCTTACTGAATGGTTTGGTCACGTAAAAGCTATTCATTTTGTTTTATCGCCAATAATTTTGCCAGGTAATTAAACGGTGACGACCAGGAACCGTTCACTTATAATCCATAAAGCGAGCATTTATAAAGAAACTAGCTATTGACTCACAACACTCAATACTTACAACCGTGCAACTCGAAATACATTGAACTCTTAACCTTTAATTTGAAAAACCAATAGCGTTGAATTAAAAACATGCCCATGTGTCCTAATACACCCAGTAATTACCTATCAAAAATGACCAAATTTAAACGCTCTAGCGGGCTCCCGTTACAATACATAGCTGCAACAACGAGGCTGGTTCTTATGATATGCTTGTCTGGGGATTTGACGATCGCTCACATCCATGTGGCCTTACGAAATATTCTGCCAAAAGAACCTATTCGCCCTAAAGCGAATAATCAAAATCGTTCTCTTACATCTTGGAATCTTGAAATACAATAGAAACGTGTATAAATAAATACACCCCAAAAATATACATATAGTATTGTTCAATCTCGCTATAGTGGAGAGAGATTGAGCCGTAGGGGTTGTAATGTCAGCGATAGACCGTCACTTCTATTTAGTATTGTAGACTGGGGCAAACAGAACAACCCTTGAGCCATTCGAAGGACGTGGTATCATTCAAAATACTAATTTATTCTCTAAAATTTACAGTTTATATACAGCCTTAATGTTACGTATGTCAGCCTAGTTCCAATTACTATTATGCTACGTTAACTAAACGATTACTACATCTTACCTTGCGTTTTCCGCGTTAGTAGTACATTCCGACATATTGTTTACACTAATGTTGCAAATTCCTTGTGATGTCGCTAAACTATAATTACGACAATTCAATATAGTTTTGTTGTGAAATAGAGCGATTGAACAAGTATGTTCAAATGTGTAAAATACAGCAGCCTGTATTTTTTTCCACGACATCATGAGAAGTTTTTCTTGTGCTTTGCGTCAGGTTTATTTGATGTTGATTTTTGTTTAAATAATTGCTTTGTTCATTTTACTATGTGTGAAAAGATAAGGTTTATTTGTAAATAATTGCATTGTGTGATTTTAAAGTTTATCTCCGGTCTTTGCGATAAGAGTTTTTTATCACTACGTAAAACTAATTAAGTTTGAAGATAAGCAGGTTTCGCCGATAAGAAAACACAGATTTTTAATTCGGTTGAAGCCACGTTCATTTTGATGACGAAGTGGAGGAACGGAACTAAGAGAGGAAAGAATGTTTTAAATAAGTAGCAGAGGAAGACGTGAATTGAGGCTTTTTTGGTGGTAGACGTTAATCGTTGCCTTTTGTTTGGTGGCGTTTTGAGTGCATGACAGTCTGCTGTAGTCGAGTTTGATTTTGTAAGACAATCAGACTTATTTAATTCAAAAGTTGCACCGTCAAAATTAAGTATCGCTTAAAGTTAAGCATAACTTAATTTTGCAATTAGCCGTAAGAGATTTTATTAATACATCGTCATTTAAAATAAATGTTTAATTCGAGTTCAGACTGACGGTTTTGTCTACGTTTAAGAAGAAGTCATTTTAGTCAGTGTTGTGTCTATCGTGCGTTTATCGCTTATGTGAAGCCTTTCTTTAAGGTCTTCAAGTTACTCGTTAAAGTGAGTTTTTCCACCATCAAAGAGCCAATATTACATCTGTAATTACATCGAACTCGGTGCCTAAATCAAGACGCTGGAAGAAGCTGGACAGGTGCTTCTGGGTGGTTTAGTGACCGTTTGCCATTGCATATAGCAAAACTGTTATAACCCCAAAACCGTACTTGTTTGGAATGTAGGAAACTTATATATTTTGTACAATTTTATTCGTGCTCCATATCCTACAATTCCGCCGCGTTTTCATCCTCTGTTAAAAATTAATGTTGTGCTTATTGCGAAAAGCTGTCGCTGACACGACATTTCCATTTTCCATAAAACATATTTTCTTTCTTCCAATGTCGACTACAATACGCTATATTGTAGCAAAGAAACCAGGGTAAAAAAAGAGGTTTAGAATATCTTAGTTAATGGAATTCCGAGTCACAGATCAGAATTCCGTGTTGCCTCATAATTTTCCATGTAAAATGAAGAAAATGCAAGCGCTTGGTGGTAATAATTCTTATAGAATTTTGCGAAATTAATCAAATTACACTCATTTCAAATCGTGAAACAGATGTGGACGGAAATGTTTCACAATAATATAATATCTTATCAATAGGTAGCAGCTCACCATTACATTAAAAGGCATGTTTAAAAATGCTTACGAATTATGTATCACACCTTAAACATTTTAAGGGTGGATTTTGGGGCGATATGAGTATCTAGCTACTTTTGTTCCGTCCACCTCCCTCCAAACGGTTTTAGAACGTTTTGGATCTACGTTTAGAGGATCCATTAGCATTAGAGGATCGACGAATTTCCAGACATAGCAACTTGTTGATTAGGTACCAATTCTTTGTTAACGTACCGCACCGGCACTAGATTTACAGTTAGGTAGGTACTATTTTTTGTGATCTTATGCAAAAATGGCCACGCAGTTTTGATTTTATTCCAATAATTTCATTATTAATAGAAAGGATGCTTTTCTAGAACGGAAATTACTTTTGCATGTAATAAGTATTTTCGGCTAACAAACTGTGTACTACATCAGAGTTCTCAGCGCGCCAAAAAAGTCAGTAGGTTAATACGATTAATAACGTAAAAATCTGAAAAAGTGCAACGCGTATTAGATTGATAAATTAGAATCCGTTATTTGTGACTAACGTTGAAATACGATTTCGTTCCTGTGGTTTCTCTAAATTGCTTCCTCAAATTAAATAAACGTTTCGCACCCCTTACCAAAAGGAAATATGTATTTTGTTATCACCCTGATATTCAAATTTACTGTCAGCTTGGAAAATGACTGATGACACCTTTGATAGTTAAAGAAGAGTGGGGTTATAACATTGCACTACAATTTAAAGAATCACCTGAAGAAGAAAAGATTTCGCGGTACACCTCATTCGGTAACGCAACGCCTTTAAAACGGTCTTCCTTTACCTATTGTTTCCCGCAGTCGAAAGCGAGCGTGGTAATATCGAGAAGTATAATTGATAGATCGGAATTGTGACATTATTTGCAAAAATGAGATAAAGGATCTTAATGAAACATTGAATTGTGGCGAGTGCGCGCGTTGTGTGAAGTTTGGAAATAAAGGATATTTGTTAAAAGGAACCTTGTTAATAGCAGAGGGACTGTGTTGAAATTTGCCAATGATTTTATGCTAAAAGATAGAGTGGAATTAATTTGTAACGATGGATGCTTCCATGCTAAGGTATTTATTTCACTTTTACTGAATAAATTTCATTTAATTATTAGAGAAAGTTCAATTTTTCGTGATGCAATGCTTCAATTTTATGGAAATTCACCACTGACCAAAAAATCTCACACTTTTGTCCACAAAACCAGTATCGTTCACCGGCACTCTGTAAATCACACGGATAGTCGAAATTAATTATCTGCGACCAGTTTCAACAATTATTCCATTTTGAATGATAACATGTTCAATGTTTCATTTAACTAATGTGTGTCCTCAGAAGCGAACTCTTCGTCGTCATTCATGCGTAGAGAATTACTTCTAATTTTGCGTAAAATTATATATAAATAGCTTACAATTATTATGGGAAACTAAAAGTTTGGCTGAACTAAAGACTGTCATTCTTTAGAATTAATCGTTCTTAGAAAAAATTTAAATTTTTACGTTTTTCGGATTTTGAGCATTGCAATCTCGAAAAATTTTTTTTTTCGAACGGTCGTGTAACACCCTGTATAATTAAATTAGCGATTTCTTTAACATTATTTTCGCTCCTTTATTAATTATTATCGATTCCTTCAAAAATATACAAAGAGCATAAAAAATGTGCTTATGACATTTTTCTAATAAAAACCATTTTTTATTCATTGCCATGACGATAGAATTATTTTTGAAAATAATTATAAAATATTAAACATTGTATTGAAGCGTACTACCTGAACAACTCGAGAAAAATTTAAGAGCTGTGATTCATTTGTTTTCTGATACCTACTGGTAAATATAAGTACCTACACTTGAAATCAGGAGTATGTGGCCCCACGTTATTGATTTGTGAATCAATTTAGACAAGTTTGTTTTTCGATAGATTTGATAGATGTTTTAGCGTATGTATATAAGTACAAGTTTTACGCTGCAGTGTATGCGTAGATTTGCTTAACATATGAAACTTTTCTTTAATATTAGCTTTAACGAAAAATTCTTTCAGCAGATAGTTAGTATGTCTTAAAACTGTCTTACCACCAATCAGATCTATGACATTCACAGTATACAGGGTAGGGGGAAAATCCATACTTTGCATAAAGAGTAAACTAATCTTATTTTAAATTTAAAGAATAGAAGACAATTTTGAAAATCTTGAAAAATTTTCACCTTTTGGAAATTTAAAGATGCAAAGTAGTGAATTTGACCGCTCTATCCTTGATAAATTCATCAAATATATAACCTGCTATCCTTGTAAATTGTAGCTCGCAAGACTATCGCACTCAAAAATATTTTTATAAAAAAAGCATACCGGGTTTGTAACGGGCTAGCTACATTTACAGAGGTTAGAAACCTCTTTTGTAGAAAATAAATTTTATTCTCTACGGCACTGGTAAAAATTTTACTGTTACAATTAATTTTTTGTAATGAAATAATTAATACTACGACTAGCTCAATAATGAATAAATTACCGATGACTCTTATACCTTGCGAGTTTGGTTATTTATCTCCACTTATAATCTCGAAATTAAAACTTGATGCTCTGGTTTGAACACTCAAATAAGAACTCAAATATAAATTGAATTGTTTGAATATCTTGTTGAAAATAATATCGTTCCAACTCTTGTTTCTATACATTTTTTGTAATTTAGAAGATTGACGTACTTCATGTAACAAATGTATTACTCAGATCTTTATATTCATAATTAATTCCATACCCCCTACAAAATTAATAAATTTACACGCCTTTGGATTCTAAATAAAAATTTAACCCACAAGAAAGGTATTACTGAAATTAATATTCAATTTCCCTTTAGTTTGGGTTCCCTTATTATTCATAAAAAATACACAAATTGGTTCACGGTATAAATTCCCGTAAAATGACCTCTTCAGAAACGTTAGAATGACTAACTACAAATTTCTAATACAAAATCCCCAAAAACGGTCGATTCCTATTTTGGTACAATATATAAAAAATGTAATCAACTTACGTTTATCAATAAATTAAAATACTCTACTACCATCTACTACCATTGACAGTTGATTTTCTCCTTTGGCGAGTTGGAAAATTGGATGGTGGAACGCCTTTTCTTACAATACAATGCGACTTTTGTATCTAAAATGGTTAACGAATTTGAAATCGGCACAAGCACAACCATGTTTCAGGTTCCTCGCAATTTATTAGTTCTAATTTGGTTTATTTAGTGCAATGGTTACCAATGTTCCACAATATGGAAATGTCCAAAATTGCCCTTCTAAAGGGTTTGCAGTAAACAAAAAATTAATTGCCTATGTTTTTTATCGTTTGCCGTTTTATTTATAATGTTATTAACACATTGCATAAACAAGTGCACAACTTTGATTAATAAACTGGTTTTTTAAACGTATTCTAAAAAATGGCGCAACGAAATATTTGCACCTTGGACCCCAACGCTTTCGTAGTAACAAGTTATTTATGCGCAAGCACAATATTCTAATAATGCGCCGAAAAGAACATGTTCGCTCATGTAATTAATACGACAGCGCTTGACAGTATTCACGGCTACTACACGAAAAAGTTCCCCTTTTTCTTCTTAAATACGCCACTTTATTAAATTTTTGCGGCAAGGTTTTCACTTGGAATCTGATGAAAAACGGTAACTTTCGCAATACAATTTCACGTACGACTTCGCGGCTGACAAATCTCTTCGTATACCTCGATTATACAAACACGTTTTGCAACTTTCCGTTGGAAAACAATTGTTACGCAATCTAAAGTTGATGTGTTTACGTTACGTAGTTTTGCCTCGAATGTCTCTCCCACCCAATTTTCAAAGCCTGTTCACCGATTCCCAGATTTTCTGCATAGGTAGATAAAACGGAAACTACCCCTGTAATGCTCCGTCGCGACGGTTTCTTAGGAGTCTTATCTGTTTGAACACTCGCCCTTATCTTAACGTATCTTATTTTCCCGATATTAGTTCTGTCTCATACATACATCAGGGCATTTAACTTCAGACGTTTTGGGACACAAAACAGAAAAGTAAATTGATAAATAAGCATGTGGGTTATTATTTTGTGCCCACGGGTAAAATATCCAAATTGTGAATGCCGTCGTAGACGACTGAAATTTCGTATATTAATATAACGTTTTCTTCTAAACAACCCTTTTAGTAAAATGTTCTTATATTTGCTAAAATAAGAGTACTTTACCCTTATCCAAAGTATGTGTTTCCTGTCCTACCCTGTATACATGCCAACTTGGATTTGATTGGTGGTAGAACAGTGTTAACACATGCACCAACTATCTGCGGAAAGAATTTTTCCTTAAAGCTAATATTAAAGAAAAGTTCCAGATGTTAAGCAAATCTACGCACACACTGTATATTAAAAATAAAATCGGACCAAGTGCTGACTCCTGTGGTACACCAGCAGTGATACTTTGATAATGATGATTGAAATGCTATTGCCTGATAAGATATATTTAGCTAGTTTGTTAACTAAAATGGAGTGATTAACACAGTCAAGCATTAAAGCATTTCTTGTTTTCAAGCGTAACTAAAAGTTATAATTGAATGAGACCATACTACTGATATTGAGCATCTAGAAATAATTCGATTGCGAATTTTAAGGAGTTTTCATTCCGATATTAAAATCTTGTTAGTTAGAAATTTCTTATTCTTTATTTATTATGCTGGCTCGCATCTTTACCAACCACGTTCTCGGGATATTCGCAATTGAACCGTGAACCTACCGACCAGTGCATCAGCTCCATAATTTCCATTTTAGTTTCTCTTTGCTATTATTACACTGAACTCAAGCACTCGAGCTGGTTTCTTATCATTTAGCACTAAAACTGCTTTTCCAAAATCAACGGACAAACTACATTTAACTTTGCACGAACCCTAACTTAACTTCATCTGCAGAGATTATTCTCAATATGACGAAACTGTGTCTTCAAACAAATAGAAAAACCAATTACTTACTCAAAACTCAGTAAATTAAAAAAATTAAAAATTCTCCATAGAACTCCCCAGTCGATAATGACCGAGTAGTAATTAATTGACTACATCAATAGCAAAAGGTACGCAAACAAACGGAAATACGTTAACAATTATAATTCAAAACATTATCCTTTTAAGAGTTAGTTAACGATACGCTTTATAACACACAGAAGTAAAGGAAGGTATCCCCTGGCTGGTTAAATGGCTCGGTCGAATCCAGTTGTTCGGATGCTTATCTAGTCTCCCCAAACATTCATCTGGCTGATGAAAACAAGAATGCTTCAAGATGACCGCTATCTCCCTAATAAGAGAAAAACAGGTACGGTACCTTATTGCGTTGACACGCACGAAAACACCCTAGTAGTCTTAACACCCTCGAGCTGGGCTGGTATCGTTCAATCTACTCGGAGGACACTCGACAATAACTACATAAAATAGCAGTCTTAAAATCCCAAACGCACTTACCTCTAATGACACAAGAGGGCGTAGAAACCAATTAATACTAATAAAGATGCTAAAATTCATTAAATTACATCGGCTCAACCGTCAGATATTTAATGTTTACAAAGAAAATGCACCAAGATAACGAAAAAGTTAGCAAATACCGGACCACTTACAAATCCTCCAAGAAATGTGGAGATAAGCGCTTCAGCTTGCTTCACTACCGAAAATACTGAGCACAACGAAAAAGGTCAATTACGAAAGTCACTAATAAAAATAATTGGTGGAATTAGACCATTAGAATTTACGTCACTTCCCATTTGCCGACGACGAAATGAAAGAACGAAAGAATCTCCTTTGACTTGCGTGCGCTGACACGAAAGAACGCCGGGAGATGGTCTTAGTTAAACTCTAATAAAGCCAGCGAACGTCAAACAAAGCTAAAGTTAAGAATAAATCGTTACAAATTAGCGTACAGAAACGTACACGCTCCTTTCCCGTCGCGAAGCGAACAGCATACCGCGGCGACACAGATTGGCTAGCAAGCTCTCTCTCTCTCTCTCTCTTACTTCTTTTTCCTATTTATTCCAACACCACTTCCACTAAATCATCATAATC